CCTGCCCTATTCTCCCCCCCCACAGCACCTGGCATTCAGGGGTACACTACCGCTGACCACGGAGGTTCCATTTAGCCATTGATGGACCTTTCCACGACGAATGGGCCCAATTGTCTTTCACTGCCATCTGAACTCACGGCCATCCCTGTTTCCCGTGGCAGAGAGCTCTAGAAGCCAGTGATGCCATTGCACACATTTTTGGTTAGATGTGTCTGTTTCATTTCTCTCTCTCTCTGTCACTCCCGAGTGCACCCCGAGACTATTCAAGAGAAGTTGCCAAGTAAATCAACCGAGAGAAAGAGCCTGGTCTAGGTTTATTCTTTAAACTCAGTGGTGGGAAACCGGGCCCTGAAGCTGCCGTCTCAAAGTGCAGAAGACGCCAGTGCAGCTGTTGGATTGCATCCAGTTTTGCTTTTTAAAATAGCTCGGCTTAATTCATCTGTGGGCTTGCAGCCAGCAGTTTCATTGCTTATTTTATATCAGGATCTGTACTTCAGCTGCTTTCACCTTAGCAGCGTCTGGTCACTCCCTGGCTCTTTGCATTTTCCTTCCTCGTCCAAGCCTGTTCTTACGGATGCCTGCTTCCCCTGCTCCCTCCTTTCTTTGGCTTCCTGTCTGCCTTGTCCCTCTATAGAGTCAGAGCAGCTCCACCAATAGCTGCGTGAGATCCCTCTGTGACATGCAGTCGGGTGAGCCAATCACTGCCAGAAGCTTCATCACCACTGCCAGCCCCAAAGTACCTTACCGTCCAGATCAGTTGAGTTTATAAAGTGCGGTTTCACTGCCTGACCCCTTGCCGGGTTCTTCAGTCCAGCTTTTAAAATGTAAACTTTCTTCCAGAATCTACACCATGGATTCAAAGCCTTCCCTGCTGTACCCTACGGGGCCTCTGCTAGTGTCCTCCACCATCAAGCAAGGGCAGCTGGACCTGCAGCAGCTTCAGCATCGGGCTGCCGTAATTCCACCCATGGTACGTTCTTAGGGGGAGCGGGTACCCCACTCATCTCTGGGATTGCATAGCAGTGCTGTTAACAGGCCTCATCGGGGATCCGCAACACCTGAGAGCTCAAGGGAGCCCTCTGTTTCTGCAAGCCAACAGGTGTTTTTAACAAGCCTTGCAACATTGGAGCACCCAAGGGCTGCACTAGCCAAAGACCTTTCTCTCTCGCTGTTTGGCTGAATTTATCTCATGGGATAGTTATGTTGGTGCTTTGGGCTCCTTACAGGAAGGGTGGGTGAATCTGAAATAGTTCAGCAGAACAAGGTTTGAGTCCATTGGCACCTTTAAGACCAACAAAGTTTTATTCTGCGTATGAGCTTTTGTATGCATGCATGCATGCATACAAAAGCTCATACGCAGAATAAAACTTTGTTGGTCTTCAAGGTGCCACTGGACTCAAACTTTGTTCAGCAGCTTCAGACCAGCACAGCTACCCACCCGACTCTATAATTCAGCAGAGTTTATGCTGGAGTTGGGCGCCAGGAGACCGTTGAGGGAGGCTGATGGTGCAGATATCTAGAAGGGCTTGGAAAGTGGCAGTGGCATTTGCCAGGAAGCAAACCGAGGGCCGCTCAGAGCTGAGAGAGAGAAGGCTGGATGCCCAGTTTTAGGGATCCTGTTTCACAGCGTTCGGGGCAGGTGAGCTCACCAGTGACCTCGGCGAAACCTCTTCTGCATCCTCTGCGTAGGCTGGGGAGTCAAACAGCAGGA